CCAAACAGTCTTTTGTGGGTTTGTTCTTTTTATTAAAAAAAAAAAAAAAAAGCAGCAATAGAATGGCCACCTCTGGGCTTACTGACCACTACCAGACGTGCCAGAGCCTGTATCTGTGAGCTCCTGCCCTCCCCTGCCCAGGCAGCCTCTAACTGACCTGCTCTGCAGGTTCCAGCACGTGTGTGTGCATACGTACGTAGGTCACATCTTGTTCCGTTTGGTCATTTTCAAAGCATTACAGAGGAGCAGAGGAAGAGGGCTGTCCCCTCCTATGGGACTTCCACCCCACTGCTGTGTGGGGCTGTGGCCGCTACCACGAGGAACCCTTCATGAGCAGTCGTACAGACTCCTCCTCTTCCTCCTACCGCTGCCCTGGGGGCTTTTCTGAGCAGTCCCTGCTGCAGCCGCACTGCTGGGAGGCTGCTCGCCCACAGGCCCAGGGGTGGCAGAGGGGGTCTGTAGACTCTGCCCCTTTCAACTGCCAAAGACAAGGCCCACATAGTCTCCCAGGCTAGCTGTCACCCTCTGGGCTCCCAGCGGTGGTGGGGGCAGATCCTGGTGGTTGGTCTTTGTGCCCCCCACCCTCAGGGCTGGCAGGCCTGGTTCTTGCCTTTGGGTCTGGCTTGGCTGTTTGTTTTGCTGAAGAGTTTTCTCGGTGTGCACGGGCTCCTTCCTTTCTCCCCCGGGAGCCCGCCCAGCTCTGCCTTCCTCCTTAAGCCTGGGCTGTGGGCGTTGTTCTCCCTCACGGAGGGGGGGCGGGCCTGTGGAGCCCTAACACCCCACCCTCTCTTCCAGGCCTCCAGAGGCTGCACCGGCTGCGAAGACCCCACTCCAGCAGTGATACCTTCCCCGTGGGCCCAGCCCCTGCCGGCTCCTGCGAGAGCCTGTCCACCTCCTCCTCCTCGGACTCTTCCTCCTCCACCTCCTCCTCCTCCTCCTCCCAGTCCTCAGCACCCGGGCTCGGGGCACCCTCCCAGTCACCCTCACACCGCACCTCAGCCTGGCTCGACGACGGCGACGAGCTAGACTTCAGCCCACCCCGCTGCCTGGAGGGGCTCCGGGGGCTCGACTTTGACCCCCTGACCTTCCGCTGCAGCAGCCCCACCCCAGGGGACCCTGCGCCTCCAGCCAGCCCTGCACCCCCAGCCTCTGCCTCCTCCTTCCCTCCCAGGGCAGTCCCCCAGGCCCTCTCACCCCGAGCGCCCGCTAGCCCTGCCTCATCCACCGCCCTGGACATCTCCGAACCCCTGGCTGTCTCAGTGCCCCCTGCTGTGCTGGAGCTCTTAGGGGCCGGGGGGACACCTGCCTCAGTCACCCCATCACCCCCCCTGCCACCAGCCCTCAGCCCCAGCCTGAGCCTGCGCCCCCATCTCCTCCCCATGCTGCTGCGCGGGGCTGAGGCCCAGCTGAGTGGCCCATGCCACCAGGAGATCTGCAGCAAGCTGCCACTCCCCGGGCCCCGGGCCCCCCAGGGCCAGCACGGTAAGGAAGTCTTGCTGGGCCCCCCAGACCTCCTCACGGTCTCGGAGGCTGCGCCTGGCCCTGACTCACCCCGCTTCCCGTTTCTCTCTACAGGCCCTGGTACGACTTCTCCGCTGCTGCCCCCACCCCTGACCCTCCTGCGCCCTGGGGGGGCTCCGCCTCCACCCCCCAAGAACCCAGCACGCCTCATGGCCCTGGCCCTGGCTGAGCGGGCTCAGCAGGTGGCCCAGACACAGAGCCAGCAGGAGCATGGGGACACCCCCACTGCCCCTCGCTCCCCTTTCCGCCGTTCACTGTCCCTGGAGGTGGGTGGGGAGTCCCCCAGGATGCCAGGAAGTGGGCTGCCCCCGAGCCCCTTAGCTCACCTGGGTGCCTGGGCCCCAGGACCTCCGCCCTACCTGCCGAGGCAGCAGAGCGAGGGGAGCCTGGGGTGGAGCCAGAATCCCACCGGGGCCACCAGAAGGGGTCCCCGAGGGCCCATCCAGGCCAATGCCCAGCTCAGAACGGGCACGGCGTGCAGGGATGCGCCAGCACCAGTAGCCCGGGCACCATGCCCTGGGCCCTCACAGGTCCCTGCACCGGGCTTTTTCTCCTCAGCCCCCCGGGAGTGCCTACCACCCTTCCTCAGGGTCCCCAAGCCAGGCATGTACCCCCTGGGCCCTCCCTCCTTCCCACCCAGCTCCCCAGCCCCTGTGTGGAGAAGCCCCTTGGGCGCCCCTGCGCCACTCGACAGGGCAGAGAACCTGTACTATGAGATCGGGGCTGGGGAGGGGCCCCCCTACTCTGCCCCCACCCGGCCCTGGAGTCCGTTTCGCTCGATGCCCCCTGACAGGCTGGGTGCCTCCTATGGCATGCTTGGCCAGTCACCGCCACTCCACAGGTCCCCCGACTTCATGCTCAGCTACCCACCCCCGCCTTCCTGCTTCCCCTCCAACCACCTCAGCTATTCAGCCCCCCAGCACCCTGCCCGCCGCCCTATCAGGCCAGAGCCCCTCTATGTCAACCTGGCTCTTGGGCCTAGGGGGCCCTCACCTGCCTCCTCCTGCTCCTCCTCCCCTCCTGCCCACCCCAGAAGCCGCTCAGATCCTGGGCCCCCAGTGCCCCGCCTCCCACAGAAGCAGCGGGCGCCCTGGTGCCCCCGCACTCCTCACAGGGTACCTGGCCCCTGGGCACCCCCCGAGCCTCTCCTGCTCTACAGAGCAGCCCCACCAGCCTATGGGAGAGGGGGCGTGCCCCACCGAGGGTCTTTGTATAGGAATGGGGGCCAAGGAGGTGAGGGGGCTGGCCCCCCACCCCCTTACCCCACTCCCAGCTGGTCCCTCCACTCAGAGGGCCAGACCAGGAGCTACTGCTGAGCCAGAGCTGGGGGGTGGGGGGCGTCCTTCCCGTTCTCCCCCTTTACAGGGTCTTGGCCCCACCCCAACCTGTATTTTGTATTTTCTTGAGCTCCTGCCCAGCTTTCTCACTTTGTAACCTGCTTCTGATGTAAACCCTTCTTCAACCGTAACCCTGGCTTCCCTGCCCTCAGCTGAAGGGCACCCCTACCCCTCTTCTCCACCTTCACCCTCCAGGAGCCCTCAGTGTGTCCCTTTCTGTGCACAAGGAGCTAGGGACACCACTCCTGCCCACCCACCCCACCACATCCCCCCACCACACATGCACACACACACACACACACATTGGACTAAACAACCAAGACAATGAATGAATAAAATGGTGAAAAGGTGGACCAGGCTCAGTCAACAAAGGACAACAAGGTGGCTGCTTCCTCCCTCTCTGTCCTCCGGGGAGCGGCCATGAGCAGGGGTGTGGGGTGGGATCTGCAGAGACAGGGCCATGAGGGCCCTGCGGAGGGTCTGTGTCAGAAGTGGGACTCTGCTGCACCTGCTTGGGGTTGGAATCCATTTTGCAGCTCTGCTGTGATCTCCAGTAGGAAGGGATGAGGGGGGTGGTCCGGGATCCCCTGCTCTGGACCCCATGGCTCACTTGCACAGGCTGAGGGGAGCCCCTCTGCTCAGCTCAGTGCTGGGTGCCTGCAGTGGGAAAAAACAAGCTTACCCCCTGCCCCCCGCCCCTCCGTGGCCACGGGACCTGGGAAGGCGGGGATGGGCATGGATGCCAAGTCCCCTGGCTCAGATGCCCTCATGCCTTTCCCTGCCAGCAGCCGCCCAGGGTAAAGGATGCCTGCTTTGGTCACCCGGTGGGCGGGGCTCACAGGGCTGCGGTCCTGGGGGGCCACCCTGTGTGCTATGGCTGCTCCTTCAGGGGCTGAATCTTGGCGGAGAATTTTCCCTCCGGCAGCTTCACAAATCCCCCGGAGACTGAATCTTGACTCCTGGGGTACACGGGCACACAGGCCAGTGAGGGGGATGGGAGTGGGGGTGTCACTGGTCCAAAAAGCAGCAGCCAAGGCACTTGGTGATAGTAGGGGTTGGAGCGGCTGGAACAGTTAGGTAGAGCCAGTCCCACGGGGCTCAGACGTGCACACCATTGAATTGCACTTCCGAGGCAGCAGGTGAGCCCTGGTTGTGGTCTCAGCAGCGGGGGGTGGGGGTGGGGGGGTGCTGTCTACACCCCAGTTGCTCTCTGAGTCCCTTGTTGTGCCCCTCTGGCTCCTATGAGGACCTATGTTTCAGGACTTACTGGGGCCTGTGTGGGTAGAGGGTTGTCCAGGTGCCCCACCACTGCTTTGTCCTCTCATCCCCACCGTGGCTCCTAGCTGGGATGGGACAGCGCCAGGGGCCCACACGGGGCACAGGCCTCCAGGAGTGGTCAGCTCACCTCAGGATCCAGGTCCTATGGCTGGGCTGGGGGACATAAGCCCTGCTATAGCTACCATCCAGCCCCTGCCCACTTTTCCCACCCCTGAGCCATGGCCTCCACCACAGCACGGAGTACTGGCGGTCAGCAGACCCGAGGCCCGGCCCGGCCTGCACCAGGCATCCAGAGCTGGGCTGTCCGCTGTCTCCAACAGGGCCTTGACCTCAGCCCACACTTCCCCCTTTGGCTTTATGTATTAAATTCAAAAGAGCTACACCGGGGACATGGTTAGTTTCTATAGTTTCTGTCTGGTGGGCCAGCAGGATCCAAATGGGTGCTGCACTTCCCTGGGCAGGGGCACACTCGCCCCCTGACCAGGACCACCTGGGCCAGGATGCAGAAACGAGAGGGCTGAGGTGGTGTGGCTGTGCCCCCACAGATCAGCTCAAGTGGCAGCCATGGAGGCAGTTGGGGCAGTCCCAGCACTGCTGTGGCCTGCGGAGCCCAAGGGGCTGGTGGGCCAGTGGCTGTGGGACCGAGCGCACGGGGGGGGGGGGGGTGGGGGGCCGGGGGCGGGGGGGTGACAGATGGGGTGGGGACTCCCCGGGGTGTCCTGGATTGCAGTCGCTGTTGCAGAAGTGCCCATCTTCCAGGCCTGATCACACAGGCTGTACAGCCCGGGAGTGAGACCACTGTGACGTGCGAGCCGGCTCACAGTCACCCCAGAGCTCCCCCACAGCAGCAGCAGGCAGGAGGAAGCACTGGCCTGGCCCCAGCCCACCTCCCTCGGTCCTGGTGGGGTGCGCAGCACATGCAGGGAGGCCAGGCCTGACAGGTGCCAATGGTGGCAACCAGCTGAGAGCGCAGGCTGCTCCCATGGAGGCCCCAACCCACTTGGGGTGGGCACTGCTTGTGCTCAGGGGCTGAAGGGCGGCACAGTCACAGTGTCACACAGCCTGCCAGTGCCCTTTCCCACACCTGCCTCCTCCCTGACACTCATAGCACACAGCAGGTGCCCCTTAGAGGGGGGCCACTGTCACTCCAGCGGGAGGACTCCCAGCGGGTGCAGGCCCGGCATGAAGATTCTGTGTATGAAGGCTGAGTTGGTGGGCTGGGCAGGCAGGCAGGAGGCCAGTGGGCTTGGGAAAGGGGGTTGGGGAATACCTTCAGGGTCAGGGGGGCCCTCCACAGGGGGCTGGGGCCTGGGGACGGGGCGAGGGTGTGGGCCAGAGACTTGGATTGAGTGAGGAGAGCTGGGCTTTCTGCAGAGACCTGCTGGCCAGCCAGGCAAGGGCTCTGCAAGGCGTAGGAGGAAGCCGCCTCTTACTGCGCTTTGGGAGGTGTGATCTGACTTGTCCTGGGACAACAGCAGCTCCCAGTGACCACGGGCTGCTCGGTGGGGGAGTGGGAAGTGTGGGCGTGAGGCACGGAGAGGGCAGGGTCAGACTCCACCCCCCCATCCTCTCCCACTTACCTGCTCAAACTCCAAGGCTGGCCTTTGGGGGGGCTCTCCCCATATTCTCTGGCCTCAGTGCTCTGAGACAAATGGCAGGCTAAGGGTGGTCTGAGGTCACTGGGAGCCATGACTCAGTGGGCTATGGAGTAGAGAGTGCCTGGTGGGCTGTCCTAGCCCCATGGTGGACGGAGGACCACAGTGCCTGGAGATGTTTGCCCCGCAATTCAGTGAGGACCAACTCAGCTCATAGGCAAGCACAAGTGCATCAGAGGGAGCTGTAACAGAAGGCTGGGGAAGGGGAGGTAGTGCTGGCTCGGATGCCCCCCGCTCCCACCCAGGCCACTGGCTCAGCTCCCAGCTCTGCTTGGCACCACAGGCTCAGCCCAGTCCCAAGATGTGCAAGCCCACCGGTCATCCAAACATAGGCCACCTGCAGCAGGTGCGTCCCCACCAGGTTGCAGCCCAAGAAGGTGCCTGAGCTATGGCCTCAGATCGACGACGACGGCAGCAGGGGACCGAGAGAAGGTGGGTGTTATAAGGTGCTGTCAAATCAGTTCCCATGGACAGCGACCCTGGCCACAGCAGAACAAAGCCCTGCCAGTCCTGCGCCATCCTCACCACTGATCTTACATTTGAGCCCAGGGTTGCAGCCCCTGGTCAGTTCTCTCATCACGCCTTCCTCCTTGTCACTGCCCTGCCTTACCAAGCATGATGTCCTTCTCCGGGGCCTGGGCCCTCCGGTTAACAGGTCCTGAGTACGTGAGACAAAGTGGCACCGTCCTCACCGCCAAGGGGGCATCTGGCTGTGCTTCTCCTAAGACAGATGTGTCTGCTCTCCTGGCAATCCGAGGTCCTTTCCGTACCCTTCATCAACACGGTCATCCCAAGGCATCCATACTTCGGTCTTCCATATTCGATGGCCAACGTGCATAGGACGTGATTGAAAAGACCATGACGTGGGTCAGGCACACCTTAGTCCTCAGAGTAACATCCTTGCTTTTCAACATGTTAAAGAGGTCTCCTGAAGCAGATTGACCCGAGGCAGTGGGTCATTTAATCTCTTGACTGCTGCTTCCGGGAGAAAGGGAAGGGACCAGGGACAAAGGGTGGCAGCATGGAGTCGCTGGGCATTGGGAGGCACCAAGAGAAGGGGGAGAGTCACATGGAGATGAGAAGTTACCTGAGAGGACAAAAGGGACCAGGGGAAAGGACAGTCACCGGCGAGGGGAAGGGGGATTGTGAGGGACAGGGAGCTCTAACAAATCATCGCGGGTCTGGCAGGCGCAATTGCACGGCTGTAATATATAAAGATTAGCGTAAAGGCCTAGAGAATAGGAGAGATGGGAGAGAGTAAAAGAAAGGAGTCGGACGCATGTCATGGTAGCATGCTCACCTCAGCCTCTCTGATGGTCCACGTGGAGGTGCTGAAGGAGGACCGGAGGAGGGGGTGTCTTTATTGCTTTGGGGTTTTATAGGTAGCCATTAGTCATGCATATTCGGGAGTTACATACCACAAGGTGGGTGGGAATCACAGTAAAGTCCCTGAGCTCACAGGTGAGGAAGCCCAATACCTGCATTGGGGGAAGGGATGAGCGGGGCTGGGAGGAGATCTACAGGGAGACAGAATCAACCATGTGCTCACTTTAAGGCAGCATAGCTGTGAGGGGAGAATCTGCGGGAACGACATTTGTTAGTTTCCCACATTTCCCCCTTTTGTTTTATGTATTAAATTCAAAAGAGCTACAGGGGCGACATGGCTAGTTTCTATACATGGAAAGCTGTCAAGGAAAACTTAACGACCAAATGAATGTAGCCAAGCCAAAAATTCAGGCTTCTGGCAAACATTTTGAATCCAGGCATGGGGGATAAAGGCCCCCTATGCCCATCTGTGATTGGGGGAAGGTCTGAGAGGGGCTGGGTGCTGCGGCGGGAAGGGATACAGCATATAGGGAAACAGAGTCAACCACTCCCTCTCCGCACCCGGGACTCTGGCTCCACAGCACTGAGAGCCAGAGCCCAGTCCTCCCCATCTGCCTGGCCAACTGAGGGGCTGCAGGACTCCACACCATCCGCTCCCCATCCTCCCAGGGGCAGACGTGCTGGAGGCCACAGAGCAATAGCTCGAGAGATTCCCTGACAAGACACAGCCGTGTGGCCTGCATCCAAGCCTTCAGTCGGCAGCTCCTGACTTCCACAGTCCCTCCTGGACTGGGTGGCCCTGTACCCCTGGAACCCGCAGCCTCCGGTTTCTGAAACGATGCCTCGGGCTGCCGCACAGTGCTCTGGGAATCACCAAGCCCACTCATCCCTCAGCCCAGAGGTGTAACAAGCGCACACACATCTCCAAAGGCTGAGATGATGTGGACTTCAGCTAACTCCAGCCTGATGCGAACTCAACGGGGGAACTTCAGCCTTGACTCCAGGCCAGTCTCCAATTCTTCCAGAAAAGCCAACTCGGCATTTGATCACGAGAGCTCCCACACTCACTTTTGCACCTTGGCTCTAGGGACGGGATCCAGGGTGCAACCTCCTTTGCAGCCCCCACCTCTACCTGTTCCATCCACTCCCCCACTATCATCCATCCCTGATCCTCCAACCTCTTGCCGTCTGCCTCCAGCCCTGTATCCCTGCATTCTTTGCCTTTTTTTATTTTTATTTTTCATTCTTTGTCTTCTTGAGGTGCTTTGGAAGTTTTCTGGTCCGTCCGTTTACTTTGCTATTTCTTCCGTTCCCTTTAGCTACTCGATGGCAAGGGCCAGCTTCCGGGGCTCGTCTGCCATCCACTTTGGTCTTTTCTTTCTTTCTCATGAACGACTTCTTGCTTTTTTCCATGTGTGAGATCCTTGACGCCATCGCACGACCCTACTGGTCCTACGTCACTAGTATGCGTCCAAGTGTCACGTCCGTTCTCCAAGTGGTCTCAAAATGCAAGTGGGACGTACTCATGTTCATCCTTAGACCCTCGACTGCTCATGTGCAAGTTGAAGTTGAAGCTGAAGGAAATTGAACCAGGTCCATTTAATGAGTCGATTGGATAGTTGGCCTTTGGCCTTTTTCAGCCTGGTGGTATTAAGCTTCTCCAAAGTCTCTGTGCAGAGAGGTTTGTGTATTCTATCCAGGGAGGTCCCTGGGTACAGCAATCACTTATAAAGTCCTTCACAGACCACAGAGCCTTGCAGATCAAAGGTGCACAATTGCTGACAGGCCCACCAAAGCCATGTCCTTCATATGGTCCCATGATTCCCCTGCCGGCGATGATCCGGCTATAAGACCCTCAACCTCTCCACACGAGTCTGGGGAGAACCTAGCCCGACGGCCAGCCATGGCCAGCTGATGCAGCCGGCCCACCAGGGTTTCTGGATCCCCAAAGGAGTCCAGCTCCACAGGGAGGCAAGGCAGTAGCCAGGGCATCTGCGGGCTGGGGCCTCACCTTCCAGGCAGGGGCCAGCTGAAGGTCTCACGAGGGCAGAAGGGAATGGAAGATGGGACCTCTAGAGGCTAGACCAGAAGCAACAGAGCAAGCCTGGTCTGAGAGGAGAAGGGGGCTTTGGGGCCAGGTGGGCGGGGGGAGCTGGAAGATGGAGAAAAGGGTGGGGAAGCCTATGTAGCAGAGGGTCAGGGATCGAAGGGAATCCCCTTCTGAGATAGGGGATGCCCTGGGCCCTAAGATGTGGGCCTGGGAGTTTACGGAGAAGGTCGGAAGTCTCCTGAGGTCAATGAGCTGTGGGAGAGGTCCCAGAAAGAAAGATGGCCTGAGGGTGGGGCTTGCTGGGAGGAGAGGGCTGAGATACTGAGTAGGGCCTGAGTGAGGCAGGAAGACTGAAGGTGGGGTCTGCTGGCGGCAGGTGTGATCACAGGATACACCTGTCCAGCTGGGAGAGGGGATTTTCGAACTGTGTCTGTGGACTAGATGAGACGTCTGCCCCAGGAGCAGAGGCTTTGATAAAGGGGTGGGGGCTGCAAGCTGGGGAGAGCCTTGCAGGTAGGAGCGGAGGTGGGGGCTCTAGAAGGAGCCGGAGAGAGGAGAAAGGAGCCTCTGGGCTGCGGGAGGCGTCTGGTGGGAATCTGAGAGCTGGGTGGGATTCTCAGCTCAGGACCTACTGTTGGGTTCTGAACAGCCGTCACCTTGTGACTTACCCGTGGGTGCCCAACAAGCGATCCCCATGTGACTGCCTCAGACCTGTGGGCGTTCAGGTGGGAATCCTGCACATGTGCCTTAAAATTCTCCCTGGGGACAGAGTCTGAAGCCTGGCGTCTGAGATGACATCACCTGCCCCCAAGCCCCCAGCCTCATCTTTCCGCTACCCGACATGACTCGTGCGTCTGTTATTACACGTGCCCATGCCTTTGGGCCTTCCTCTCAGTCCTCACCTGGCTACTCAGACGAACTCTCGCTCAAGGCAGCCCTCTCGGTCCATCTAACCCCAGGCTGGGTCAGGCACCTCCTCTGGCCACCTACCACCCCCAAGCCTTCCCCCAACCACCCTGATATTTCTGCCTGGGATTCCCACGTCACAGACCTGCATACTTGGCATGGGGTCACTGCCTGAAGGTTTTTTGTCAGCCTCCAGTGAGCACCTGTCCCAGGGGCAGTGCTTGGCATGATCTCCATCACTGATGTGTTTCCACCATTGGTGCCCCGCAGGCACCTCAGAACAAAATGCATAGTAAGTGGGAGGGGGAGGGGGCTCTTCCCTTTGTTGCCCCCCCAAGAGCCCCTGTGTGTGGCCTGTCTCCAGCCTCAGTGTCTGCTCTTCATCTATGAAATGGGTGCCCATTGAAGTGAAGAATTTAGCTACAAATCGGATGAGGAGAGCAGATTCCAGCCCCTCCCAGTACGTGGTGCCTCAGCGGGAGGTAAAGGCTCCCTTTGTCTGTGCTCGGTGCCCCTACCGTGCTATCTGAGGAGCCCTCTTTCAGCAGCGCCCCTCAATCTGCGTGCAGGGGAGCCCTTCCTGAGGAAGTGGCTTCAGGAGAGGGCAGCAGCCTGGGCTGGGGTTCCAGACCTTTATTGACCACGGGACCACCACGGATGCTGGCGGGGGCTCTCAGGCCCTCCCCAGCAGCCTCCCCCAGAGCTCTTGGCTGAGCAGCTTCTGTTCCCTCCGGGCACCCTGCAGCACGCTCCGGTTCTCCTGGGCCCTCCGGATCAGGTAGGGGATCACCTCCTCCAGGGAGCCGTAGGGGATGGACTTATACACAGCGTAGCCGGCCTGCCCTGAGGGGAGAGGGTGGGCAGTGTGTGAAGAGGTTCCTTTAGGTCCCATCTGGGACAGATGTCCATTTCTGAGAACACGACGGACTAGGGGAGGTGGACAAATTTTCCCACTTAAAAAAAAAAGAATCCACACACACAAAGCCACATAACCCTAGATTAAACTTAACAAAGAAATCTTCAAAATATGCCGACGATGCCAAACGAAAGGCGGTAACCTCTGAGTAAGGTTCCAAAGAACTACATTGTCCTCCCTCCCCTGACTCCCGGGGGACATATGGCCTTGGACACAGAGAAATGACAAACCCACCCCCCGAAACGCTGCAGACCTGGGCTAACCCCGTCACAGATGTGCAACACGCACGTGCACCCCTGGGAGACCCCAAGAAGGCCCGGGTTGTGGATTTAAGGTGAAATGGTTGCGTGGTCCCGGCAGAGGAAACCATCGATCCTGTTGCCTCCAGACCAGGAGAGCAGCAGTCGGGCTAACAAAGCACACCGGAAGCCAGACACGGCGGTTGAGAAGCAGCAAAGACAGCACACAGCAGATGCGGAGACGGAGACAGCTCAGCAGCCACTGAAGAATAGATCTCCATGGCCGCATGTGGAGGCTGGGCCAGCTGCAGGCTGTGAGGGAGCCCGGCCAGGCTGTGGTTGGGAATGGGAGGAGAGTCTAGCTGGGAGCAGGGTGGGCCATTTACATACCTAGTGCCAGGGAGACGTGGTCACACATCCCCAGAAGTTGTCCAAAACAGACAGGCCCATCCAGAGGAATGCCCAGCTCCCACATGCTACAATGGAAGGGAGACCTCCTTAATCCAGCTGGGGGCTGGACGCAGGGCTGAAGGCCAGCCAATAGCCTCTATGACTCCAGTTATCAAAACAACCACATATGTGGACGTTCAGGGATGATAACCAATGCCCCGAGACCCTGGCCCTTCCCTGGGACCATGGGCAGCCTCAAAGTCAAAAATGCAAACTCAGAGACAGAGCAGGCTCACCCTGGGGGTTTCCAAAACTGTCTGTTTGTTTGGGAGTAGAAAACCTCATCTTTCTCCCACAGAGCAGCTGTGGGTTTTGAACTGCTGACCTCGTGGCTAGCAGCCCAACAGCCAGGCTCTCTTCAACCAGAGGCCTACCGTACGCAGCCGCAATGCTCCAGGCTCGACGCTTGGGTATGGCAGGGGTCGTCTCCATAATCCCTCCTAAGCCTAGTGGTCCCCACCGTCCCTTCCCTGTTCCAGGTCCACTCTCTGGCATGGAAGGAAGGAAGGGGGAAGAGGAGGCTTCCTCCAGATCCCAGCTTCTCCTTCCCCTGCCGCATACCGCTTGGTTGCCTGGTGAATGGAGTCCTCATTGTGAGAAGCCACCATGAGGTGGCACACGGGGCCACGGCGGGACACGTGGGTCAGCATCAGCTCCAGACAGCGGCTGTAACTGCAGAGACACGTGGGCATCAGCTCAGGCACCTGGGGAGGGGGAGACCCAGGGAACCGGGGTCTGTGTTCTTGGGAAGGTGGGTGTTTTAAGGGCAAGGTCTCCGCAGTCAGAAAGCATCTCCGTGCCTCCTGTGCTGGCTGAGCAAGTGGCCTCTCTTCCTGGAGCCATTTTCCTCCTCTGTCACAAGGTGGCTTGACCTCTGACAGTCCTGCTGCAGGGGCACAGTGAGACCAAAGTGCAGCTCCACCGAAGCTGAATGGAGGGTCTTTCTCACAGGCGAGGGTCTCTCTCTCTTACACACACACACACACACACACACACACACACACACACACACAATGACCTGTGTCCAGGGCCACCCACTCGATCACCTTGTTCACACAAAACATCATGACGGAGGAGCTGGTTATGAAAATGTCGGCGCACAGAAAATGGTGAGATACTATGCAGCCATGAAAAAGGGACGGGGTCACTTCAGACGGGATAGGGAAGATGGAAAAGACTGAAAATGCTTGCTGGAGGCCAGACACCACCCTGTGTACTTCACGTCCCAGGCTGGTTCTTCTCCGCTGCCTCCCCCATCCGTTCTCTGCCCTGCTCAGCCCGCAGGACTTTCATCCTGCACCACCCAGATGGGCGATGAGTGCGCAGGAGGAGAGAGTGTTTGTTCTCAGCCTGCTCTGCTCGCCCTGCCTGTGTGCTGTGTGCGGCCAGGACTTCCGTGTGCTGGTCTCTCTTCTTTCGCTGCAGCGCCGAACACAAACCCCCCTGCTATTAAGTCAGTCCCACCTCATAAGCAGCCCCCTACGACAAGACAGAACTGCCCCCTTTGGATTTCTGAGGCTGAGAGTCTTTACAGGACAGGCCGCCTTATTATTCTCCCGAGGGGCCACTGGGGGATTTGAACTGCTCACTTTGAGGTTAGTAGCCCATAACATAACCCACGATACCACCAGGTCTACGTTCATCTTCAGTGGAGGGGTCTCAACTGCTTCCTGCTCCTGCGTGCCTCTCCATTCTTGTGAGGTCCCTTAACCTTGCCCACACTTCTTGAAGCATGGATAATAGGCACAATTCTAAAGTTACCAGTAATTCATCTTTGTCTGTTGCTAAACTCTCTTCGGCTCAACCCCTTGGCATGGAATTCTGTGTCCTCTGGGACCCTGACTGACATTCATACTCGTTCAATCCTCCTATCGACTCCGTGAAGCAGGCGCTCTTGTTAAGCCCATTTGACAGAGGGAAGACCGACACTGAGAGATGGGAACTCTGTGTCCCAAGGTCCCACCGCTGGAAGCACCTAGTTGGCATTTGAACCGAGCCTGTCTGGTGTCCCAGAGCTGATCTTTGTCACAATGAGACTGTTCATCTTAGTGGCAAAGCAAGGAGCCATGGGAAGGCATGGCGCCTTTTGTGGAAAATGATTAAAAAAAACAAAAGCCCAATATCTTCCTATTTGCTTGTATGTTCAGATGCAGTCACTCAGGAAACACATGGGTGGGTGGGGAAGGACAAGGAGGCGGCATGACGAGATGGAGACGTGGGCACAAGTAATACATGTCAGCACCTCTCTTTCCTGAGCAATAACAGAGATGCTGGGTTGTACGAAGAAGAATGCAGCACCAGGATTGGAGGAAGGCTTATAAAAAACCTGCGATAAGCAGATGGCACAGCCTTGCTCGATGAACGTGCAGAGGACTTGAAGCACTTGCTGATGATGATCATCCAGGATTGCAGCCTTCGGTATGGATTGAACTCAATGTAAAGAAGATCCCAGTCCTCACAACCGGGCCAATAGAAAACAGCATGATAAACGGAGCAAAGGGTGAAGTTGGCCATGATTTTGTGGTCTTTGGATCCATCGTCAATGCTCATGGAAGCAGTAGTCAAGAGATCAAAAGACACGTCGCCTTAGCTAAATCTGCTGCCCGGGACCTCTTTAGAGTGTTGAAAAGTAAGGGTGTTACTTTGAGGACTAAGGTGTTCCTGGCCCAAGCCAGGGTATTTTCAATCGCCTCATATGTGTGTGAAAGTTGGACACCGAATAAGAAAGACTGAAAAGTCAATGCGATTGAATTGGTGCTGAAGAATATTGAAAGGGCCGTGGACTGCTAAAAGGACAAACCGAACTGTCTTGGAAGAAGTCTGACCAAAGGGCTCTTTAGCGGCAAGGATGGCAAGACTTCATCTTACATATTTTGGCATGTTGGCAGGAGAGACCAGTCCCTGGAGAAGGACATCACGCTCAGTAAAGAGGAGGGGCAGTGAACACGAGGAAGGCCTTCAAGGCGATGGACGGACAACAGTGACTGTGACAATGAGCTCATGCGTGGGGACAACGGTGAGGAGGGTACCAGACCGGGAAGTGTTCTGTTTGGTTGTGCAGAAGGTTGGAACTGATTCGGATCCACATTCTAGTGTGGGAGAAAGACAATGGGCAATGGAATACAGACAGCTTATAGAACTGCAGCTACTAAGACGTGCTAAGGAGAAACATCAGTTCAGGAGGAGGACAGAGTGGAGGTGGGGTGGTCTAGGTTTTGAGAGGGAGGGCAGAGAAAGCCCTCCTGCCCCACAGAAGGTGCCAATAAGTCAGAACCTAACGAGGTGAGGCATTGAGTACAGTCATGTCCTCAGGTACAGGGAGTACAGGTAGCTGTTGGGAAGAAGCTCTTGACCGTGGGAATAGGATGTGCCAAGGCCCTGGGGACCACAGCGGGGCCAGTGTGGCTGACGTGAAAGAAGCGGGAGTGAGCAAGGGGGGAGCGAGGTGATCAAGAGGACTTGATTAGGGTTTACTGAAAGCGCACTCCTAATGCCTCTATGAGACAGAGGTTTCTGAGGTTTCCGAAGGTCTCTGAGGCTGTACTTTCTTATGGGATGAGAAAGCCTCGTCTTTCTTCCTCGGTGGAGTTGGACTGCTGACCTTGCAGTTGGCCCCACACATAACCCACAATGCTACCCGGGATCCTCCTACAGGGTCACTGTGAGGCATAATTGACTCCGTGTCAATTTGGCTGACATGGCTTGGCTTTGGGGTTGAGAGTCTAATGGGGACAATGGAGGAGTTTTGAGTGTCGGAAAGAGGTGATTTGGTCTCAGTATTAGCAGGCCCCCTCTGGCCGCATGAGGGTGGTGAGTTAGTTAATTGTGCCAACCTGGCCGATAATCACATGTGGGGCTAATTGAAAGGCAGAGGGATAAACGGGTGGTGAGCCTCGCCTTTCTAGTTCTCGGGTCTCTTACTTTGTGATGGTCGCACCAGGGTGCAGCTGCCTTAGCAGCTCCCTGCTTCAGCTTGCAAGATTGACTTCCTACAAGACATCCCCAAGGAGAAGCTACATGGACCTATCCCGATGCAGCCCTGGGTGCTAGAGCAGCCGTGTGGAGACCCCTGGTAGTGCTGAAATGCTTATTCGTTTACTGACTCAGCTTTCCTCCTGCAGTCGGCATCATTGCCTCTGTTTTGTGAGGTGGAGGACTTTGTGGACTGGTGCTGAGTTAATGGGTTAATGTTGGACTTGTGGGCTTGGGCAGCATTGGGTTGGGATGTTTTCGTGATGCACACTTTCTTTACATAAAACTCTCTTATATATGAGTTGCTGTGGATTTGTTTCTCTAAAGTACCTAGACTAATACAGGTGGGGACAAAGGGGGGAGCAGGGAACCAAGGGGGAGCCTGTCATTCTGGTTTGAGTGGGAAGTGATGTGTCTTGGGCCACAAGGAAGCACACAGGACACAGAGCAGAGCAATGCCAACTCGGCACCCCCTGAATCTTTGTGGGAGTTGGACCCTCATCTTTCTCCCGGATGGGTATTACTCTGATTATATATAAGATGTTATGATTATTTTTCCCGGAGCCTGGCCTGGCCCAGTCCTACCTCTGGCTGGTGGCCTCGTAGTCAGGCTGCGTGGGGTCTTCGGTCCTTTGGAGCCTGGCCTCCTTTCTCTCCTTGTCCAGGTAAGCTCCTCGTACCAACTTCACTCCAAAGGCCAGGCCAGCCTTGTCTGCAGCCTCAGCATCCTGCTTCAGTCTCTCGTGTGTGTCCTGGGAGGGCCCCGGGCAGGTTCAGGCCAGAGCGCTGGTTCCCCAGCCCACGATCCACTAGAGTCCACCACATACCTTCAGATAGGCTTGGTAAGTGTTCCAAACCCAAGGCCCCCCCTCCCGGGGGCTGTTCCAGCGCATGGCCAGGGCGGCCACCAGCAGAGAGAGTGCAGGGTTCAGTGAGGCATACTCGGCGTCCACCAGGAGCCTCACGCGCTGAGTCCGGGCATACTGAATAGGACAGCAACTGTAGTCAGGGACCTGGGAGTCGTCAGCAGGGGCAGGGGACCATGCCCAGAAGAAGGTGTTACCTGGGCCACCTGGTGCAAGCGACTCAGAGAGGCCCGAAGGTGATGGTTCTGCTCAGCTTTGAAGCAGGAGACCTGGAGGTCCTAGGGCAGAGAGGGGAGGCAGGAGGCGCTCAGAGCTGGACCTACCAGGATCTAAGTTCCCATCCCCACCACCAGGCAGGAGGAAAATATTTAGTAATTGTTGTCAATCTGAAAGTTGCCAGACGAAATCTCCAAGCCAAACCCACTGCCATCCAGGGGATTCTGAGTCGTAGCAAACCTACTGGACAGGGTAGGAATGCCCTGTGGGTTTCTGAGACTTGAAATCTTTGCAGAAGTAGAAAGCCTCCTCTTTGTCCCATGAAGTAGCTGGTAGTTTTGAACTGCCAAATGTGTGGTTAGCAGCCCAACATGTAACCTCCTATGCCTTATAAGACATAGACACTATTTACTGAAGTTTACTACAGTGGCTGAAAGTCCAGACTCTGGGTTCAAATCCTGGACCCATCACTTACTGGGTGATCTTGAGTAAGTCATATAACCTCTCTCAGCCTCAGTTTTCACCTCTGTAAAATGGAGGCGATCTTGATCTCTACCTTAGGGGGCTGTTTCATAGACAAAATGAATCGCAGCGTGTGATATACTTGCACGTGATAAGACCAGGACAGTGCCAGCACACAGCAAGCACTCAGTACATGAAGCATGAAGTTGCTATGGGAGTGAATAGATAAATCAGCAGACTATCTTATTTGTCACAACAATCCCAGCAAATGGATGTTATTTCAAATCTCATTTTCTAAGTGAGTGCACAGAAGCTTGAAGAGGCGATGCAACTTGGAGTGAGCATATTGAAAACATGTAGGATAGTAGCTAGCGCTAGCAAGTGACATGGGTTGTTCCCTTGTGTTAGTCACATAGGGCCCCATGTCCCCATCAAATTCCAAGACCCTTCCTCATCGTGGCCTACAAGGCTCCACCTGTTCTGGCTCCTCATGATTTCTCTGCCCTCACTTCCTCCTACAACTGCCCACCTCCCTCCCCTTTACAGCATCCTTCTACAAACAAAAGGAATGCACAAAAAAGCTATCATGAGCAATAAAACCAATAGCACCACACACACACAAAAAAAAAACATATAGCAAAGTGATAGCAATACCATACCAAACTGTACAAAATCAATACCAACATTGAATGTAAATTGATTGAAAGAACTAGTTAATAGCCAAAGACTAACAGAATGGATAAGAACATACACGCCTTTAATGTTCTGCATACAAGAAACATACCTTAGCCATTAAGACAAACATTCACTGAAAATCAAAGGATGAAAAATTAATCAGGCTAACAGCAGTCAAAAGATAACAGGAGCAGCAATATTAATCTCCACTGAAATAGACATTAAAGTAAACACCAAAATGAGAGACAAAGAAGTCTAGTATACAATCATGAAATCTTCAATTTAACAAGAAATTATAACCATAATTAATATCAATGCACCAAATGAATGATCTTCAAAATACTTAATCAAGTTCTTATAGAAATTAAGAGATGAGAGAGACCACAATAGGATAATACTAGGAGATGCCAACACATCATCAAGCCAAGATGAAGTAGGAAGAAAATCAACAAAAATACAGAAGAAATAAACAACACAGTTATTCAACTTGCTCTCTTAGACATATACAGAGCACTTTACCCAACAAAAACACATTATACATCAGTTTTCTCTAGTGCAGATGGAATGTACTCAGAAAAGATCATATTTTTAGGCCATAAAGCAAGTATCGATAGATTAAAAAACACCCAGATAGTCCAAACTATTTTTGTTCAGATTACAAAGCTATAAACTTACAAATCAACTATAGGACAACCAACCCCCAAAAATCAATGACATGGAAATGGAACAATATCTAAGAACCACTGGGTAATTGAAGAAATAACACAATCAAAAATTTCCTTAAAACAAATGAGACTGAAAAGACAACATACTCAAATCTCTGAGACATTACAAAGATAATACTCAGAGGGCAGTTTATGGCAATAAGTGTGCATATCAAAAGGGAAGAAAGAATTTAAAAAAACATATCAACCACAATCACTGGAACAAGACTAGCAAAACAAGCCCTCAGATACTGGAAGAAACGAAGTGCCTAGATACGCGAGTATAAGCCGACCCAAATATAAGCCAGGCACCTAATTTTACCACAAAGAACTGGGGAACTTATTGACTTGAATATAAGCCTATGGTGGGAAATGCAGCAGCTACTGGTAAATTTCAAAATAAGAATAAATACCAATAAAAGTATATTAATTGAGGCATCTGTAGGTTAAATGTTTTTGAATATTTATTTCAAAAAACAACAGTAAACTAGCTCTGTAAGTGGAAAAGGGGGTCAACAAAAACAATATGGTATCAACAATAACTTTGAAAGTACAAAAACCTTAGCTCAATCAGCAACCAAGCTAAAACACAAGAGTCAAAATCCTTCAAAACTGGATTCCTCTTCCTCATCTGTGTGTCCACACAGAGCTTCAGCTTCAGCTGGTGTGAGGTTATCAGCATAGACATTCTCATCATCACTGAGTCCGCAGTCACCACCATCACCGCTGTTGTTCTCATACCAAGGGCTGTCTTCACTGCCATCCACAGCATCACCAAGGCCACATTTCTCAAAGGCGCGTTGCACCATGTCCTCTGGAATCTCTTCCCATGCGTCACAAACCCACTTTGCTATCAATTCTATGTCTGGTTCATCAGATTTCCAACTTCTGTCAGTCGGGCTTGACCAGATGACATCCATTCATGTCACATCTTTCACACACGGTCTTCGAAAGGCTTATTTAAACACACATCTAGGGGCTGCAATACAGATGTAAGCCCACCTGGAATTATGGACAAAGTAACTTGAGAAGACTTGGCCAATTTTTTTTTTTAATGTCATCAGATGTGTGGGCTCGCAACATATCCCAAACCAGCAATGATGGCTTTTTCTTTGCTCCTGGTCGTCCGTTCCAAATTTCTTCCAGACATTTTTTTGTTCCGTCTTCATCCATCCAGCCCTGAATATGTGCAAACTGTAATTCGTGGTGGGAATTTGACCTTTTTAGGCAAGGTCTTTCTTTTAAAAATAATGTCAGGCTGTAGCTTTATTCCATTAGACAAACACGACAGAGCGACTGTGAAATGGTTGTTTGTTTTTTCCATTTCCTGTGGATCTGAGTAAAATAGTTTTGTCTCCCAAACTTGTCACACTTCTGTTGCTGGGAAGATCAAGGTCATAGGTGTTTGATCCATATTCCCAATGTCTCCTAGGTCATACTTATGGATCCTTCTTTATTTTATGATGAATGAATGGAATGAGATCACCTTTTGATCAAGATCTTTTGGCAACTGTGAAATCTTTGTTCTTTGCTACAAACATAGGGCAAACCTATTCATGAAGCGGGTATAACACCTGCTGATGCAGCAAAATTTTCAATGCCTGGCACTTTTAATTTGTCGTCTTTAGCTATTTGAAGGGCATGTAGGCAAATTCCCATGTGTGTTATGCAGTAACCATTTTGACGACACTCCATAACCCATTTATGCAATTAGTCTCTAGAGCCCCATATGAAGCCGTTACACCACATTGAGCTTTTTTTGCCTTTTGAATCTTTTCCAAGTCAGCTTTCATTTTCCACCTCTCCCTCACTTGTTTTTAGTCAACACAAAATTCCCTACTTGCAATACTGTTATTGCTTTCTTCTGTTCCTAACACAACCTTATGTTTGAAACCAGCTTCATATGACCTGCGCTTTTGTTTTGGCCCAGGATTACAAGTATTGGGATCCATTTCAAGACTTTGAAAAAGAATGTCGTACCATAGCAATTGAATTCTCAAAATAACGTTAAGCCCTACTCCAAAAATAAGGCTTAGTTATAATTCTTAAAAGAGGTCAATTTACAGTAAGAAAAAGGTGGTGTCCAGGCAACTATACATATAAACAAGCAAAATCAATTGGCAATAGAATGCAGCAAGACAGACAGACTTCACCACAGAAAACAGATACCCCGCAAAAGAATCACACTCAAAAGAGACCATGAGACCCAAAACATGCTGGCTCACCAAGGGAGCAGACAGTCATTCAGGGTTTGGAGAGTTTGATGTGATAACATTCCAGAATGTGATGTCATGACTATGTTTGCATAGAGCATTCTGTGTTAGGGCTCATACTATACACGCTGTGTTACTGCATGCGCTGCATTACTACATACTACATACATGCTGCCTCACCGCATGTACACAACACAGTGTGTATAGTTTGATGCCTAACGCAGGCTGATGATATTCCAGAATGTGATCACATGACTGTTTGTATAGAGCAGCCTTGTTAGGGCTCCTAATATACACGCTGTGTTGTGTACACACTGTGTTACTGCATGAGCTGAGTTACTGCATTCACAGCGGTACCGCATATGTATGGGAAGTGCTAACACAACACATGCAGTAGCACAGTGCGTACACAATGCAGCATGTATATTATGAGCCCTAACACAGGCTGCTTTATGCAAGCATAGTCAACACTGGGTCCAGATAGGGGTTAATAATAAAATAGAAAATAAAATATAGCAGACTAAGTACTATAAATAAACGTACTGTATATCCAAGACCAGAGATATACCAGTACTTGTATTCAGCAATGCTTGGGCGGGGCAAGGGTGCGTGACCAAGCACGGGTCAGACTGTAAAGGCTACGACATTGGTCACAGCCCTGGAGAAGGGCGGGAGAAGAAGAGCAGCTGCATCCAACATTCATTTGACAAGGATGCGGTGTGCCCCAGGTACCAGCACACAGAAGCAGGCAGGTTCTTGCCCAGTATGGCAAGGACATCACAGAGACTGCCGGTGTGCAGGAGAAAAGGAGAACGGTGGTATCAGGAGGTTGTCGGACCACCCACAGAGGCTGCAGGCACCTACGGATGAGCGGGAGAGACTGGAGAACACCCGCACTGCACTGGAGAACAGGTAAGTGGGCCCCTCACTTGAGTATAAACTAGGGGGCCTTTTTCAGCAAAAAAAAATGTGCTGAAAAACTTGGCTTATACATGAGTATATAGGCAA